CCAAATATGCAGTCGAAGGGGCAGAAAATAATAATAATTCCTTGCATTACAATAGGGCCTTGCACTGGTCAGTGCTCGGTCCCTAATAATGTTTTGAACAATAAAAACTATAATATTGCAGCCTGCTCAAAAACGGAGACCTCTCAAAATATAGCAAATATATGATGGATAAAATGTAAATACTACAACACATATTATTACAATGATCCATATATTATATTATATTATATTATGATTGTATTATAACAAATACTGTACATACAGTACAGATATATAAGTTATATATCTGTTATAACATATTATGTCCTCTAGTGTTTCCTCAGGAGCAGGACACTTATAGGTGTACATTAGCTAGCAGCTAGCTCAAAGGCAGAAGACAGCAGTATGTCCTCCTGCTGCTGCACACACACAGAAACCCGCTCTGTCTTATATTACATTGTGTTTAAAACATGTCCATTCATCTGGGATTCTAACTACGTATGACAAAGAGGAGCATCCAATGAATCAACCTCTTCTGAAGAGCAGATTAGCCACAGGGGACTCTCACGGACCCCCTAACTGGTCCCGACTGCTGGTGGTTTCATTAAATTAACTGATAAACGGTTTCGTCCGGTTGTCTGTCCGGTAGAAATCCGGTAACGCATCTTACCGGGTAGTTTGAGGGCACGGGACAGAGCTGCAGCCATTTCTCCTCCGTTCACAGCGACGTGAGGCAGCTTTGATGAACAGCGCGAAGACACCGACACAGCAGGTTGGAGCTGCGCCTGCCCAGATGCATTCTGGGATTTGGAGTTGTTTCCTGTGGTGTTGGATTCCTATACACAAAACATACTAACAAAGTATATTTAATACTTTATTTTTTTTAATTTAAATACTGAAGAAACCTCGCCGTGTGTTTAGTGTGTGACGTTACATATTTGTTCAACTATGTTTTATTTTTGAGACTACAGTTGGTGATGTCGTCATAGTAACACGTTATTGTCAGACAGTATATATGAGTTTATTATATTGAGTGCTGTATATTGGATCGTCTTCCAAATGTGTAAAGTAGGTCTATCACAAGAGCACTACAAATATCTGCTGCTCGCTGGAGACTCACTTTTAACAGTCTTTATTTATGATTTTTGTTTTATTTTTGAACATTGAGGGGTCAGGGAAGGTCCTAGTCCTGCGAGGCATCTAGCAAAGTAGACCAGTCACCTCAGCAGGCAGACCTGTGCCCTTTCAAAAATTCATCTCGTAAGTTGAACGAGGACACGGGCGTCACCCCGCGTCGTTATTTTCCTTACTCATCAGTTTAAGGCATAAGGAATCAACCGTCGAGGACAGACATAGACACCGTGACCAGCTGTTCTCTGCTAGGGTGCCGGCTGTATGACTTATTTTACTTTAGTTTCTCCCAACAGTTGGGTGTTACTGACTAACACAGTGTTATTGTGCAATGTAACACTGTGTTTTGATGACGGTTTATCATATTTGTGGCGCAAAACCATAGTATTTGTTGTAAGAATTCGGCGCAAAGGCTCATGGGTACTGTCATTAGCATTTTGTCCAGAGTAATCGATCGCTGAGTTTTTAATTTGTAAAGGGGGAGCCTGCGTGGTTCCGTTCACAATCAATTTTGTCGTGTGTTTCAAAATTGTATCGACGTGCCCTCTTTATTTCCAAGCACACGATCAACACGCAGTTAACTAAACATATAATCAAATCCAGACAGCCAGTTTGCGTTCTGGCGCAAATCGGCTTCCGTATTCCTCGGTAGAACTTCGCATGCGCGCATGCGTTGTGAGGCAGTGTGAGAAAATGGCAGACGTCTCTTTGGATGAAGTGATACGACAGCGCGGTATTAACCTCAAGGCACAAGCTAAACGGTATTTAAACTGCTACTACGCTGGTGGATGTTGTGTTATTAAGGACGTAGCAACTCGCAGGGACATTTCTAAAAGCGTAACGAGAGCTGAGAGCTGTTGGTAGAGCTAACGTTAGCCCATTGCAGCCAGCAGCGAGTACATCGTATAAGTGCTACGCTAGGTAGCTGGCATTAGACTTAGGCCTTTACGTCGTGGAGCCATTCGTCCCTACATTTGGTAAATATGCTAGTTATTGGGCAAAACTCACTTTTTAATCAAACTGGAATTTAGTAGTCGTGATGGCGCATACAATTGTAAAGCTGCGTCCAGTTAGCTCGTGATTGTAGCTTCTCTCTCTAGGCTTAGCTAAGCTAGTTAGCGAGCTAATATTTATGTTGGCAGCAAAGCAGCTCTCTGCGACCACGTAGTGAACAAACACGGTTCCTGGAGGGACTGGTTATGTTATGGTGGTGGTTTGTTAAAAACATCGTAATATTGTCCCTCCAACACTGTGAGCAAGTAACTTACAGCACAAATGATATTCTGAATTGGAGCCCAGTACTACAGCCATTGAACGCATCCCCACCAGTACTGTGTGGAGGACATGAAAATAATAAATAAAAATATAAACAGAACTTTGCTGTTGTAGGCGTTAGTGCCAATATATTGAACTCTGTGGACACCTCAACACTATCTTTACACAATACTAATGAGTATTATAGTATCATTGATGTACTTTGTTTTTTTATGTCTTTCTCCCAGGCCCATGTTTGGACGGGGTGCAGGGGGGGTCGGCAAGAGTTTTGACGCCCGGCAGAAGATTGGGGTTAATGATGTCAGACAGCGGCTTGGAGGTGGAGGTGGAGGAGGAGGAGCAGCAGGCAAGGGCCACCATTATGTCCTGGACCAAAAAAATGCTATGTTTTAGGGATTAATACTAAGTTTGCACCCCATCTTCTTCCTCTCTCATCTCAGGGTTTCAAGTGAAGGATGCCAGAGAAAAGCTGGCGCAGAAAGATGCTCGCTTCAAAATCCGTGGCAGGGGGGGAGGAGGAGCCGGAGGAGTGCAGGATGCTCGTCAGATGATCAACTCGCGCAAACAGGGGCAGAATCAGTTCAGTGTCCCTGCACAGACCACGCAAAAGACCGCAGTAACACACCAGCTACAGAGCCATGCGCTTGTGCCACAGATACAGATACACACCAACAATCTTGCCGGTGTGAACACAAGGCACTTTGCCCCTAATGTACAAGGACTGAGTGGGAGGGCTAGTGCAATGCCACAGCTGAGCAATAATAAGAGAATGATGGATGCTCGTGATAGGCTGAGCCTCAAGAGGAGCATTGGAGGGACACAGACACTGGCAGTTGCCACACCACCCCTAAAAATAACTAAGACTATCCAGGTGAGGTTGAAATAGGTTTCTTTTTGGTCATACAAGATCAGTGACACCGCCTGCATGTATGTATCCTTGTTTGGAGTGTAAAAACACATTGGCATTCTTGTTATACTCTAATGTTTGATGCTTCTTCTTACAGCAGCGTCCAGTAGGGATGTCAGGTGGAATACGTCCAGTTACACAGGTAGAGTTGTTTTTCTTCTCATGTGTAAACGTGATGGATAGTAATTCTGTTGATAAATTATTCTTCTGAAAGAGATCGCAATGTTTTCCTTGTGTAAGATTGTAAAAGATGGTACTAATGTAGAGTATTTTGTCTCCCACAGCCTGTCTCAAATGAACACGATGGCATCTCCACTAAACAAATGAAGATCACCACAGCTAATAGTATGCTACAGTCTCGGGTAAGAGCTGCTTCAGGACATCGGACCTGACCTTACTCAACACAGAGGCTCAAACACATACTTGAATTATTGCACATCTAGTGTCTGCTTCTTTGCATTAAATTAAAGTCTTCCTTTCCATTCCTTCATTTCATAAAGCCTGGTGCAGTCGGCTCCACATTCTCCATGTCAGCCCCGATCACCAAGGTGGTTAAAAATGATGCTTACACCGCCCCACGTCCTCCTGTCCCTGTGGCTCCCACCCGGCCCAACACCAGCATGGCCGCTGCCCGGTCCTCAGCTGCAGCCTTACAGCCAGTCTCCAGGACCCTCCAGCAAAGCGCAGCAGAAACCAGTACAACAGCTCCTACTCCTCCTCAGGTAGACATCCGTGATCCCTGATCTGTAGTTTAGTATGCACTCCTTTCCCACCCTTTGTAGCTTCTGACCTTTTGACTAACATTATTCAGTGTAATTTGCATTTATGTTGGATACAACAAGTCACTAACATTTCTAATTGAGCCTATTGAGAGAAACCAACCAAGTTAAGGTTGATTTGATATATTAGTAAGACAGTTAATTAGAAATCCCTACACGAACAGCTGTTTGTCCTGATTCATTTTTGAACTTCTTAATATTTATCAAAGGTTCCCTTGGCTAAAAAATACTTTTTCTTCCATTGAGCCGTGCCCAGGTTTAATCATTTTGTGAGCAATAACTTTAACTATTGCAAACAGCTATATGTAGACGTGTGCCTAAATTCTAAAATCAAAGACACGTATGTTTTAAAGTAGTGTTCTTAAAATAATTTGTTTTATTTTTATCCTTCCACAATAGGAATTTAATCCTCTCCCACACAAGCATTTGTTATGTCAGCCATTTTGTTTGCATATGCATGATCGTGTGGTGTCATATTTTTCTTTCCAGCCTGCTTTCAGTCCTTTGGAGGGGACAAAAATAACGGTGAACAACCTGCATCCCCGGGTCACTGAGGAAGACATAGTTGTGAGTAACTCGCACTGTTTGGCAATAACCTTTTGATCACTTTCATTTTCAATTATGTGCCGAGCGCTGTGGTGCTATGGTGACTCATTCATATATTTGTCCACAGGAATTGTTCTGTGTGTGCGGAGCCTTGAAGCGAGCACGACTGGTTAAGGTGGGCGTTGCTGAAGTGGTGTTTGTACGTAAAGAGGATGCCGTGAGCGCATACAGAAAGTACAACAACCGCTGCCTGGACGGTGAGTGCCAGTAGCAAGGACATGCACATCAAATGGCTGTCTGGGTTTTTGGTTTCTGTTTCGCATGCAAGTCAATGACTACAATATCCATGAGGAGTTTGCTGGTTAGGGACTTCATTGTATATGGTATGTTGTATATGTGTTTTTGTTGAACTGTAGGATAGCCAATTTATATGTTGTCAGCATCACTGAGACGACCATTAACCAGACAGTTTGGTTGTTTCTGTATGTCCTCTGTTTTTGTTTATTTTAATTATCTTTTTTTCTTGTCCACCTCCAGGCCAACCCATGAAGTGTAACCTTCATATTCAGGGAAATGTCATCACTTCTGATCAGCCCATTCTATTGTAAGTAAGCAAGCCCGCAGGCCTTCATTCCTTCATTTCAAATTAATCTGTAGTTGACTGTTTACACACACACATACTTGAGTTTGCATATTTCCTGTGAACTGTAATTTTACCCTACCTCGAGTGACTGAAATTCATGTTCCCCATTTATTCCTTTTTAAGTATAAAGAATAGTGCCCTTGCTTCTATTAAACTTGCAAGTATAATCACCAGTGACTATCCTGCTACTGCTTGAGTATTTTCAGGTGATTAGCTGCCTTTTGAAGCGGTTACTCAAATAACACATTTAATGATTGGATTATATAGTCCAAGCTCTGGATATAGTGTTTCCAACTGACCACTCGCAACAAGTTTTGATAAAAATCTGATGTAGTTAAGTTTAGCTTGTAATTGAATTGTGATTGCTATTGAATGCTGCTGTGTTTGTGTCTAATGACTCTTAAGGACTATAAGGCTTTTTTCATGATGACCAATCATTTTTTAGCTCTTGAGGAAATCTCACATGCCCCCCTCTCTCCTTGACTTCTGCAGGAGGCTCAGTGATACTCCAGGGATAGGTGGTGGTACAAAAAAAGACGGTCTGCCCCCCTCCTTGTCTCGCCCTGCCGGTCAGCGAGCCTCTTCTCAGCCCACTCCAGAGGTGGACCCCCAGACCATCCTCAAAGCTCTGTTCAAGTCCACTGCACAGTCCACCTCCACCACTGAGCCCCCAAGCTCACAGGCCACTGCCTTTCGCATCAAGATATAGCTCATGTCTAGTGTGAATACGCTGTCTGTTCATAAACATATAACTGCATTCTCAGTGTTCACATACAAACTGTGTTTTTCACCCTGACAGCGGCAGGCGGCGCGAGTTTTCTCATATGAAGCCGATTTTTACACATTTGATATACATGACTTCACTGAAATTCATGGATACCCAACATCTTGTTGTATGGTATCCAAATGTCACCTGTTTGTTCCTGAGATGGACCAGTGGAAAGAAGTGTGATGTGATTTGTTATTTTAATCCAATGTGGTGGGGGTTGCCAAATCAAACTCGATATGTAGGGATTTTTTTTATTTTTCATCAATTCGATGCCAAACTATAAGAATATGTTGAGTCATTTTAATACTCCAGTATAACTCCAGCTACCCAATGCCCCAAATTAAAAGGAAAGGAGTAAAAAAAAAAAAAAAATAGACCTAAAAGTCTAATTGACGGACACTTAGCAGCATTGAAAGATAGCGTTTAATGAGAGGAGGTCCCGTATATCCACACAGGTGTGTTCAGTTATATCATTGGACCATAGAAATAAAACAAGATAGACTAAACCTAAATAGAAGAAACACAAAACGGTAGATACAGCATCTTTCTGATCAGGCAGGACAATGAAGGTGTCCTCACCAAATCCTTGCCACAAGTCCATTCTATCCAACTTCAACTTGAGAAGAGGTCTTCCTATCCAAAATAACTGAAAACACTTGTGTGAGTCAGTCAGGGGTAGACAGAAGTGTAAACACCATAATTTCAGTAAACCAGTTATCATGCAGTCATTTATGTTGATACTATGTTTTTACCATCCCTGTGGCATCCAGATTCTTGTGTGCTCTGTGACTGGTTTTACCTGGTTGTCCAGTTTTGAAGCAGTATATGTTTAATTCTTTGTAGTATACATTACACTCGATTTCTTTCCAGGACTGTAAATTGCGTTCTGTTGCTTTCTTGGTATGTCAGTGAAGAAACTAGAGAGGTCAGATCTGTCTGTGAAATGTCGCCATTAAATATTTAGCTTTGTAGATGTTGTCTGAGACTCGTCTTTCCTGCTGCCCTTTGATCATCATACACATACAGCTTTCTTAAAACTTTGGACTAGTAATGGAATATACAATATTATAAACTTGACATATTTACAACTAAAGAGCTGTTGGGTTTAGTAATAGGTGATGTGCTCAAGATTTATTTTTTTACCTCAAAAGAACAAATGTCTTTAAACAATTAAAACTGCATGTAATGAATTCCTTATCTGAAAGGTTTAATGGCCTATTTTTGGTACAGTATTTATGGCTGTTAACAGAGGGGGTGGCTCAATGGGAGCACATTAGTGATGAGAAGACTGGTTCATTTAAGTAACCTGCTGTAAGAGTTTAGAGCAGGGGTATTCAATCAAAATTCAAACAGGTTCAGTTCAGAAAACTTTGTCAAGAACAGTCCAGGACAGCTCTATTGAGCCATGTCTTCACAGAGCCCGCAGTAGTGACGACTTCATGAGCTCCTTATAATAAAGTTATAAATCATTTTATATAAATATATAATTTCAGTATTGTTTGGGTTGTTTTTATATGTATTTAAAAAAACAAACATTTAAATTCCGTACTTGCTTTTAGTTGTACTTCCGGTGTGAAAGGTCACACCAAGATGGCGCCGTCCAAGAAGAAACATGGCAGTAGCCAGCCTTGTATCATTCCTGGAGGATTTACAGGTATTAATTGACAAAATCAACAGTATTATATTCAGTTATTCCCGCTAGCATACGGACTTATCCTGGGACAGAACCTCTCCTCGTCGTTTGT